TAAGACATTGTGCTGTGAGCGCTTGCAATCCCTGAGGCCGTCCCCTTTGGTAGTCGGGTAGTTCTATGGCTTCCCCGGCTTTGGTTAAGATGTCCGCTTTCTCCGCCTCATTGAAGAGGGCATTCAGAAGGACGTGTACATCTGGCCAGGTGGGATTGTGTGTGGAGAAGATAGCGCTGACCTGGCGGTGGCACTTGTCCGGGTCGTCCCTTAATGAGGGCATCTGATTTGACCAGGTTACCAGGTCTGAGGTATAGAAGGGTTGATGCGTGTAAATCATCCGTGGGGGCCCATCAGGTTGGAGAGGAGGGATGGGCAGGGCCCTTAAGGGCATCTGGACCGCAGTAGAAGTCACGGTGGAGCTTACTTGGTCAGAAGTCCCCGGAGTTTCTTTATCGCAGCCCAGGGTCCCCGTAGCGGAGCCATGAGGTTCCGCGGGAGTGGGCTTATTCCCAACTTGGGTAGAGTTCTCAATGGTGTTGTGGAGAGTAGAAGAGGGGATTTTAGTCCTAGCTTGTTCGGGGTTTTTAACTTGTTTGGCGCCCCCCTTGTCCTTTCTCGCTTGTAGTCGTGTGACCCTCCTATTGTCAGTGTCTTGTGTCTCATCCTCCCCCGTTTCCTCCCCACTACTAGAGCTGCTGTCGCTGGATGTTGGGGCTCGCGGCGGTGGTCCTTGATAGTAGAAGGGGACCAGGGTCTGTCGTATATCGTCATCCTCGTAAGGGGGGGGCATTGGCTGTCGCCCGGGATTTAATATAGGCAGTTGGTAGGAGGTCGTTCCCTTTGGGGCTTGAAGCATTCCCCTTACTGCCTCAAAGGTGGCCAGGTATTCTAACTGGCGGGGTTTTTCTTCTATCAGGGCTTTCCTTAGGTGGTTCAAGCGTTCTTCGTTAAACGAACCCCCCGGTGGCCACCGCAGTTCGGGTTTGGCGGAGGCAGTACTGGCGGGCCAGGTTTCGGAGCAGAGGTCTTCTAATTTTTTTTTAGATAACAATTTGTGGCCAGGAATCGACTTCCAACACGCGATGACGAATTGGAGAGGAGAGTCGGGATCCCTCTGGGAACGGGATGGCTTCCGGGAAGCCTTCCTCCCAGAGTGAGTCCGCTCATGTTTGGAAGCCTGGGTACCCATAGTATATTTCACGCGTGTCTAGATAGGAAAGAGGAGAGAGGAGAGGGTCGATAAGGATTTGTGGGTCTAGGGCTGTCCGACAACGGACTTGTAAAAGAAAGGTCTTTAGTCGCTTGGCAACTTCCTAGGGAGGTTTTAAAGAGCTCTAGCTATCCGGTATTCCTTCCTTCAGTTTTCCTTAACCATTTACCTGGGGTCCCTTTTCCACTCTGCCGATCCCGCCCAATTCCTCATGGGCTATTCCCTCCTGGCAACCTCCTACCTATCGTCAAACTTCTCAGGAAAAGGGGCCCTACTGAACGCCCGCGCCGTGCGGTGCCAGATCGGGTGATCCCTGGACAGAATTTTGGGTCGAAAATCCCCCTTGCTTTCGGAAGCGGGCTTACGGTACACGTGGCACGTAGCCCGACCGGTGCGGCTGGGATTGGTATAGAAAGCAAGACCACTTCCTGCCCCCTAGAAAGGACGCTCGGGAAGATCGGAAAGAGAGCTCCAACCCCTTGCTTTCAACTGGGATACCCGTTTGCGGAGAGTCGACTATCTTTCAAGTCGGATCTCTCCGTCTTACCCTTCGGGCTCCCAATTGGTGCGGCTGGCTGGAGGGTTTAGATAAAGAGATAGAGCTCAGAACCCCCCTTTCGGGTCGAGCAGCGGTCCACGATCTCTCTTACTGACTGGACCAAGAGAAAGACAAGAAGGTACGATAGAGAGGAGGGCAGAGAATTCAGTTGCCAGGAGACTTCCACCCCTTCCCACCAGTGCACTGGATTTTCCTATACTCACGCGTCTTCTACGTCGATCCGATCCCGGGATCGATGAATAAGCCGGCTGGATCCCTTTTGCTCCCCGGCTGAACTCCTGGGGCTGTTGATTACCGCCCGGGAGATGGTCGGAGGTCCAAAAGGGTCTTCTCGGGCAAATTGGCCCGCAGCCGGCTGAAGAATTCGGGGCCCCCGGTCAGCAACCCGGGAGAACCGCTCTGCCCCACGTTGGGCGCCAAGCTGTTACGGAAATCTGGGTGCGTATTTACCCTGCCACCCAGCCAATCGGACCAAGTCCGTGGATTCTTAGCGGAAGAAAAGGAAGCTCAGCCGGACGCAGGAGCAAAATGCGAAGATCCAAGTTTATTGCGCAACAGGTTCAAAGTGGAATTGAACCCCGAGCATGGGGCGACATAAACTTTTAAAAGTTCCCTCCAAGTCCCAGAATACAGTGCAACAAAACGTCATGAATACATTAAAAGAAGGCTGGGTTTTCCAGGTTACATCATGAATACATTATAGGAAGGTGGGATTACATGGATTAACATTTCAGGAAGGGAGGGGGGAAATATGCAGAGTAAGAGATATGCACAGATAAACACAGATAAGCGTTTCCTGAGTACAGGTGATGGGAAGACAATGGCGGAGATATGCATCGTCTGCCACCTGGCATCGCCCGGAGGAAGGGTATGGCAGAACGATCTGACAGGATTAAGGTCTTCCTGAGTACGTGACCTGTCGCTCAGGGGATCATGGAGGTAGGGGCAGCATCATGGAGTCCATAGGGAGCCGAGTTGAATGACACCAAAAGGAAAGAAATCGGAGTTACGGTTGATTTTATATCAATTTCTAAAGGTTTCCTAAGGTTTCCTATGCTGTCTGACCTATTCCGTATTGGTAATTGAAAGTGGAAACAAAATGGATACATTGTAGCAAGAATGGATACATTTTGACAGCTTTACGAGGCCCTTGGTTTCGGATCCATTGTTCTCTCCGTGGGGGGCCGTCAGCAGCTTGTCAGTAGGCTCAACGAGGCGTGCAAGGGCTCCGTGAGCTAGCTCGTGCAGGATAAATGCATGGCTGTGATTGGCTAAGGCGCAGCCATAGGAATTAGCGGAGAAGCTGGAACGCCAGGTCTACCCGTTCTGAGAATGGAGCGCGAATAGCCATAGGAAGAGATAGGAGGATATGTTCATATATTTGAGCTTATTTCGCTCCAGAAAGAAAGAAGGAAAAGGGGGTGACGGGAGACGTGTGGTGCTTGTGTAACGGTGAGGGGGGCTGAGGGTGGGTGCATTGTGGGCACCCTCGAGGTCATCGCCTCGGTTGTTCAAAGGAGAAGGGGAAAGGAGGTACCCCCCCCCTTTCCCGGTCCGTATCAGTTATAATGAGGCTATTATTGTAATTGAAAACTAATAAAAATTATTTTAAAAGCAATTTAAAATTCAGGATTAGGAACAGTTAAAACATATTACATTCACAAGAATACTGTGGTTCCTGAAAGAATGAAACACCATTCAAATGAAATATTCCAAAACATTTCATATGTGTGGTGCATAGAAGTGCCTTTTACCAACTGCTGCTTGTTCAACAGCAACGGCCATTCCTGTACCAAGAGACCCTTCCCACAGTAGTTCATGCTTTGGCTACTTCAATACTGGATTACTGCAATGTGCTCTATGTGGGGCTCCCCTTGCATTTGATCTGGAAACTGCAGTTCGCACAGAATGCTGCAGCACAATTGCTGACAGGAGAGAGGCCTTGTCAGCATAGAAAACCTATGCTCAGAGTCCTGCACTGGTGGCTGGTTTGCTACTGGGCCAAGTTCAAGGTATTACTCTTACAGGTGGCACATAATACCTGTTCTGCACTTGAAAGAACTCGATCTCTTTGTGTGGCAGCATCTGCACTTTGGAACTCTCTGCCTCTTGACAGCAGACTGGCCCCTTTGATGTACTTTTTCTCTGCACCTGCTAAAAACATTTTTGTTTAGGCAAGCCTGTCCGGAAGTTTAGAAAGTTTTAATCTGTTGGTTAACTTATCAAAAGCCTCAAATTGTTTAAGAGCACAATTCAAAGAGTTGGTGTTGACCTTTAAAGCCCTAAACGGCCTCAGCCCTGTATACCTGCAAGAGCATCTCCACCCCCATTGTGGTTCCCTTACTGTGAGACAAGAAGCTACAGGGAACCAGCCAGAGGGCCTTCTTGGTAGTGGCTCCTGCCCTGTAGAACGCACTCCCATCTATGTAACACATATAAACAACTATTTGACTTTTAGAAGACATCTGAAGGCAGCCCTGTTCAGGGAAGCTTTTAATGGTTGATGATTTACTGTGTGTTTTAATATTTTTGTTGGAAGCTGTCCAGAGTGGCTGGGGCAACCCAGTCAGATGGGTGGCATATAAAACAACAACAATTCCTTATGGATAATTTTATTTCTTTTTTGTAAACGGCTTTGAGGTGATCAGCTCAGCTCAGAAGAAACTCTTCTTTGCATCAGCCACTAGCCATAGCAATAAAATAAAATGCACTGAAGATAAGAGGTAAAAGCTTAACTGTACAAAATACATTTTAGAGGTTTGCATTAATAATAAAATAATAGATTTTATTCTAAATGCCCTCTCTAAAAACCTTGCAGTTTTTGCTGTCACCTGGCCTTTGAGGGTGTGTGTGTGTGTGTGTGTGTGTGTGTGTTTGCAATCAAGCGGTGTATAAATTTTATGATTGAAATAAGATAACATGTGCGCCCTGTATGCAAAATGCAAAAAAAAAGAAAAAAAAGCAGATGAAAGGAGTTTTATCCTGCTCTTCAGCTACCGGTGTGGAGGTGCACAGAAATAAGAAATAAAAAAACAAGCCTCTCTGCTGCAGCTTGGCTCTGTGGGGCTCGCCTTGCTCTCCTCTCCGGAGCGGTGGGCCGCAGCGTTCGCGGGCGGCCGAGGCTGCTGCGCTGCGCCCGGATTGCGCACCCGTGCGCAGGTCCCTGGCTCTCTCTCGTGAGCTCCGGGGCTTCCTCCGTGCCCGGCGGGGGCGGTGTGAGGAGCGCGCGGGCTCCGGCAGGGCGTGGGGCGCCGCTCCTGCCGCCGGAGGCAGACGAGGAAGCGGAAGCGCCGCTGCAACATCAGCACAGCAGCAGCAAGAGGAGGAGGAGGAGGAGGAGGAGGAAGACGAGGAGGAACCGGCCAGGGACGCGCCGCCCCCGGGAGTGAGTAAGGACGGACCCCCCCCCGGCACAACACACACAAGCAGCACCCCACCCCGGGGAGACGGGGAAGAGCAGCAGGCCTGACACCCCACCCCACCCCCCATTCGGACGCAGCAGGATCCCCCAAGAGAGGGCGCCGCGCCCTGCGCAAGGCTGGAGTAGGTTGCGCCCCGCGCGCCCCTCGCCGGCCAGGCCAGCGGGTCACTTGCGCGCCCCCCACCTCCGGTACGCAGAAATCTCTCCTCTCCCCCACAGAGAGCAGCGACGCCCCTCCGCCTCTGGCCTCCGTGGCCGGAGAAAGGGGGAGAGAGGGTGGACAGCGGGGGCACTGGCCACCCAGGAGTAGAGGTGATCGTGTGTTTTTCCTACCCACCTCCCGGCAGGGGAAAGGCGGAAGCTCAGGAGCAGAACACCTGCTTGGCATGCAGAAGGTCCCAGGTTCAACCCCGCCACATTTCCAGGTAGGGCTGGGGGAGATTTCCGGCCTGAAACCCGGTAGACCTGCTGCCAGTCAGTGTAGGCAGCGCTGAGCTAGGCAGACCAATGATCTGAGGTGCTATAAGGCATCTGTCGGTTTTTGTTAGGGGGAAGGGCTGGTGGTTCTGTGGCAAGAGCACCTGCGTGGCATGCAAAAGGTCCTGGGTTCAGTCACGGGCATCTGGAGGTGGGGTTGGGAGGGATCCAGAAAGCCTGAGGAACTGCTGCCCTGATGCTGAGCAAGATGGACCAATGGTTGGTACATGTCGGCTCCCTATTTCCTTATGTTCAGGACATGAGACCTGAAATCTCATTTGAGGGGAAGGGCTGTAGCTCGATGGTGGAGCATCTGCTTGGTATGTAGAAGTTTCCAGGCTCAATTTCCAGCATCCCCAGGTGGGGCTGGGAAATAACATGGAAATAACCCCAGAGAGTTGTGTAAACAATGTCAAAGGAACCAGATGGACTCTTGGTCTCATTCAGGCCCTATGTGCACAAAAATATTTAAAGCTTTACAGAGTCACGGCATGACCCCTATTGCCTTCCAGAGCTACAACCCCCACAGTTCCCTGGGAAGAATGATTGACAGTCAAACCGCTCTAGAAATTTTTAGCTCTTTGGGGGGAACGGGATCTCTCACTAAAACTTGGTACCCTTAACAAACTACAGCTCCCAGAATTCTTTGGGGTTATTCAAAGTGGTGTGATACAGCTTTAAATATGCAATATAGATGGGGCATCAGCAAAAGGCAGATTCCAAGGCTGAGGAAGGGCTGTAGCTCAGTGGCAGAGCAAAGGATCACAGGATCATAGAATCAGAAGGGACCCTGAGGGTCATCTAGTCCAACCCCCTGCAGTGCAGGAATCTCAGCTTGATAATGCAACCATCCTCTGCTTAAAAACTTCCAAGAAAGGAGAGTCCACCACCTTCTGAGAGAGTCTGTTTCGCTGTCTGACTCTAACAGCTCTTAGTGTTAGAAAGTTCTTCCTGATGTTTTGTTTGAAATCTCCTTTATTGTCATTAGAATCCATTGGTTTGTGTCCTACTTTCCAGAGCAGGAGAAAGCAAGCTAGCTCCATTTTCCACGTGACAGCTCTTGAGATAGTTGAAGATGGCCATCACATCTTCTCTTTCCCAGGCTAAACATACCCAACTCCCTCAGCTGTTCCTCGCAAGTCTTAGTTTCCAGACCTTTGATCACCTCAGTTGCCCTGCTCTGCAGGTAGGGCTGGAAAGACTCCCTGTAAGTCAGCTGCAGAAGTACATAAGAGGATCTCGCTGGAGCTGGTCAATGAGCCCACCAGGTGCCTGTGGGAAGCCTTCAAGCAGGACGGGAGCCCAAGTGCCCTCTCCCCTCCTGCCGTTTCCTGCAACTGGCATTCAGGAGCATTGCTGCCTCCAAACATGCAAGCAGAGCATAGCTAGCAGGCTTTGATAGCCTTCTCCTCCATGAATTTGTCCAATCCTCTTTGAAGGCCATCCTAGTTGGTAGCCATCACTGAGCAAGTTCCATAGTTTACCTGTGGGAGCAAGGACTTTACAGTGGTACCTCGGGTTACATACGCTTCAGGTTACATACGCTTCAGGTTACAGACTCCGCTAACCCAGAAATAGTGCTTCAGGTTAAGAACTTTGCTTCAGGATGAGAACAGAAATTGTGCTCCGGCAGCGTGGCGGCAGCAGGAGGCCCCATTAGCTAAAGTGGTGCTTCAGGTTAAGAACAGTTTCAGGTTAAGTAGGGACCTCCAGAACAAATTAAGTACTTAACCCGAGGTACCACTGTATTTTATCTGTCCTGAATCTTTCAACATTCACCTTCATTGGATAGCCATGAATTCCAGAGTCACAAGAGGTGGAGAAAAACTTTTCTCTATCCGTTTTCTCCATTCCACGCATGTTTTATTTTAATAAACTATCATGTCACCTCTCAACTCTCCTTTCCTCGAAACTTAAAGGTCCCAAGTGCTGCGACATAAGGGGATCTCTCTACCCCCATGATCGTTTTGGTTCCCAACCTTTTCCAGCTCTGCAATACCCCTTTTTTGAGGTGAGGTCTCAGGTTCAGTCTCCGGCATCTCTAGGTAGACTTGGAAAGTCTCACTTCCTGAAACATCGGAGAACCTCTCCAGTCCATCTGGTGGTGCTCTGGCCTGTCTGCTGGGGAGAGGTTGCTGTGGCTCAAAGAGGTTTTGTGGGGTTTTCCCTTCCAGGAATCAACATGCAATATGGCAGCTGCAATGGAGACTGAGCAGCCAGGGCTCGAAATCTTTGAAACGGCCGAGCACAGGGAGAATGTGGCGCCTGGGGAGAAGGCCAAGCTGGAACCGTACTACGTGGAGAGGTATTCCTGGAGCCACCTGAAGAAGCTGCTGAATGACACCAGGAAGGACCACGGCTGCCTGATGGCCAAGGCGCCCCACGACTTCACCTTTGTGAAGAGGACAGATGCAGAGAGCCCCCACTCAGACAGGGTCTATTACCTGGGTAAGTTTTGACAGCTCCCACGCAGCCTGGAGGATTTCCACTGTGTTTAGTGTTGCTTTTGAAGAATCTCAGCTAAGCAATGTGTATGAACCAGGGATCCTGGTTTGCAACAAACCATGGTTAGTTTCCAAGCAACCCAGCTTTAAACCATGGGTTATAAAGCTGGCATGTGTAACCCTTAAAAGTGAGAATAAACTCATCAGAAGTCCTCCTGCGAGGAGGAGAGGGGACCTATGTTGGGTTCACAGAGCAGTAAGCCATGGTTTAGTGTTTCATTCAAACCAAGGCTGTCTGTCTCTACATACCAGTTATTGGGGTGGTGGAAATAATGCCATGTGAAGATTCTGGAGTAGATTCATCCTCAGTTTAAGCCAGGAAGGCTCATGTTATATTCTTATTTCCTTAAGATTTTGGGAAATGTGCAGATTTGTTTAAATTGAATTGGTTACAAGGTGAATCAGCTACTTGTTCTTAATTTTATTAGCTGAATAGTAAATTGTTAAAATAATACTGACCGAAAATAAAAATAAAAAGGCATTGAAAAGGGTTTATTTTAGAAATCATGGCAGTTTTTGGTTTTAAAGTCTCCCAACAGGATTTGGCTTCTCTCTTGCTTATCTGCTTGGTATTCTGCTAATGCAAAAATAAATAAATTGCAAACTGTGTTTTGTTTTTTAATACTCAGCAATGTCCGGTGAGAACAGAGAAAATACGCTTTTCTATTCTGAAGTTCCCAAAAACATAAACAAGGCTGCGATTCTTTTGCTCAGCTGGAAGCCGCTCTTGGATCTTTTTCACGTAGGTGACTAGCCTGAATCTTTCACATTTCATCCCCTCCCTTTCTCCTTTTCCAGTGGACACACACCCTGTTTGAGAGACTGGCAGCTGTCAAAGATGAAAACCCGTTAGCAAAGAGAATCTTAGCAGCTCTCATGTTTGTTCCAGCTCTCCTCCTGCCTAGCTACACTCGTTGCCAATTAAAAATTCAAAGCATTTTCCATTTCTAATATTTTTTGCTTGTATGCATTTGGTGAACCGCCCTTTGTTGAGACAGCTCCTTCTTCCATTTACCTAAAAAAGCATTTAATACTGATTGCCTCGGCCTGGTTGCTGCAGTTTTCTTAAGGAAAAAGGCATGGCAGAAGTCTTTGGGCACAATTCAGCAAGTGTTTGTTTATTATGGGAGATGTCCACTGTTACTAGTACTCAAGTGTAAACCCACAGAAATTGTTGGAACTTCCATTGGTTTCAGTGGGTCTGCTCTTTAGCTGAATATCAACATATTTAATCTATATTTAATCTGCTTAATATATATTTTTTAAATCTACAAAGTAGAAACTCTAAAGTCAGACTAAATGCATCCTGTCAATATTGCAGTTTAAAAAATCGAGAATGAAGATATTGAGTAGTGCATTCTAAAAATTAACGCCCCCATGTAGGTGTCTTCAACAGGTCAGTTGACTCCTTTCCAGTTGCATGGGGGAAATCTGATCATTGTGATGTAAGCTGCCTTTGGAATCAATGGGACTTCATTCCTCATACTATGTGTATACAGAAGCAAGCCCTCCCCCTTTACTTTGGGCATCCCCAGACATAGGAAATACTGCATTTGTTTTCCTGATTATAATGCTAGTGCTTCTGTCTTGTTTCCTAATGTGCCATTCGTATTGCATTACCTATTGTGCTATGGAACTGTGTTTTTTGACCAATAACACTGGCATGTCACGCTACATTACACGCCATTGGGCACAACAACAAATGCCATTGGACAATTACATTTTGACCCTTCCTGCACATGCATGCTTGATTCCACCATTAAAAAGGCAGGAAGGACCTGTTTGGTGGTATACCGTCCCAGGTTTTGTCACTTTACTCTTGCAGTTATCTGGGTTAAGAGGGCTGCAAATGGATTTTTTTCTGGAATCAAATAACATGGAAATGAGTGGTAAAAATGCACTATATTCCATTTGTTTCTCATAAGTGGCGTTTACTGTGTGTCAAGCCTCAAATGTAAGGAAGAAATGAATGGAATGAGAAACACTGGTAAAGTGGAAGAAGCTATTGTGTGAATGCAGCTTTAGTTGGATGCCATGAGATTAAACCCCACATAAGTAAACACAGGATTCTGACCTTAAGGAAGTTGCAACTGAGCCCCACTGCTTTCTATGTCACACACATCTTGCTCCTGTGCATGTCTGAAATTTTAAAAATAAGTAGAAGTGCACAAGTCTTTAATGGTTGTGCAGTATTTTATCCAGTTCTGGGTTACCTTATCGATTTGTAATATTTGTATTTCCCCCTCCCCTCTTTTTGTAAGTGCTTTGGGAATGCCAGCTGGGGTTGGGTGGTGATAGGGAGGATGTAGTAAACAATACAAATATATAAATGCTTAGAATTAATTCAGTAGGAGTTACCCTCACGTAATTCTGCATAGGATTGCAGCCATAATTATAAATTAACTTTTGCTGAATCGTGCTTTGAATTTTCTTTGACAATGTAAAACAAACAAAAAAACCTCAGTGGCAGTGAAAAAACACCCTAACAACAAAAGAAAACACAGGCTGTGGGTTGTAGTTTTCTCCCTCTTGCTTTCTCCCCATCAGGCCAGCCTCGATTATGGGATGTACTCTCGGGAGGAGGAGCTGCTGCGGGAAAGGAAGCGGATCGGGACGGTTGGTATCGCCTCTTACGATTATCACCAAGAAAGTGGCACCTTCTTGTTCCAAGCCGGAAGTGGGATTTACCACGTGAAAGATGGAGGTCCCCATGGGTTCACGGTAATAAAAGACGGCAAGCTAGACTTTTGTGAACTGCTCTATGCCCTGGGTTTTAGGTACAGTGCCCTCTGGAGGGAGGAGGCTAAAGGGAAAGTGCAGCCTGACCTCAGTGCTGGAAGCAGGTTACAATTATTTGCTAGTCGTCCAAACTTCCGGGGTTGATTTTATTTGTGTGTGTGTGTGTGTGTGTGTGTGTGTGTGTTTTCAATTCATACAGTATAGCATGGTGGGGGACAACAAAAAATAAAATAGCTGAAACATAAACCCCACAATAAAATATACAATGCAATATGCTATAAAATGCAAAACACCATGAAAACTAAAGGGGGGAAATGTCATCAAAATGATCAAAAAATGTAGACAGTTACATAGGCCTATCTACATTGAAAAAGGTCTCTAAGAGACAACTGAAAATCAAAAGTGTGTGTGACAGTTGCTGGAAATGGCAGGGGAGAGTGCTCTTGTGCTCAGGTCCTGCTTGGAGAGTGGGAGCAGGTGGCGCTGTGGTCTAAACCACTGAGCATCTTGGGCTTGCCGATCGGAAGGTTGGCAGTTTGAGTCTGTGCAATTGAGGTGAGCTCCCGTTGCTCTGTCCCAGCTTCTGCCAACCTAGCAGCTTGAAAGCATACCAGCACGAGTAGATAAATAGGTCCCTCTGCATCAGAAAGGTAAATGGCATTTCTGTGCACTCTGACACTCGTCACAGTGTCCCGTTGCACCAGAAGCGGTTTAGTCCTGCTGGCCACTTGACCCAGAAAGCTGTCTGTGGACAAACGCCGGCTCCCTCGGCCTGAAAGCGAGATGAGTTGCCTTTGACTGGACTTAACCGTCCTGGGGTCCTTTACCTTTACCTGCTTGGAGGTTTCACGTTGAGGCACCTGGCTGGCCAATGTGAGAACAGGATAATGGGCTAGAGGGGCTCCCTTTGGCCTGATCCTGCAAGCTCTTCTGAGGCTCTTAGGTGCTTGCCACATTCTTGTTGGAAGAGTGTTCCACAATGTGTAACCAGAGGTGCCTGACTCCTAGTGGAGGCCAATTGGGCCTCTATAACATGGGGGACAGTTAGCCATGTGTTGCTGATCCTTCCTACCAACTGAGACCTTCTGGAGGAGTTTTCCTTCAGTCTCCTCTCTCATAGCACTGGAACTCTGGACCATCCAATGAAGCTGAGTATCGGAAGATTCTTGACGGGCAAAAGGAAGGACTTCTTCACACTGTGCATGGTGTGGGATTCACTCCTAGAAGAGGTTGTGCCTCTACTTCAGTGGATGACCCCATTGACTTCTAATATTCTTTATTTGAAAGTAGCACGCACTATTCTAAATGAACAAATGCTGCTTTTAATTGCTGTCTGCAGCATTGCTTATGACGGCATTTGTGTGGTTTTCTTATTATGGCCTCTTTTGGTGAAGGAAGGATGAGTTATACACATTTGAAATAAATGAATAATCAAATAATATTGCGAGGGAAGGTGAGAAACATCTCCCGGTCAGTTTGATGCCTCTCCCTTTACTCTCCATTTTTCCTACGCTAATAAAGTCCGTAAGGCAATTTACTCTCACTGACTCTTACGGCATCCCAGACACTTTCTGCAAAAATTCCTTGAGCCTCATGGGAAGGGTTCACTAGTTCAAAAGGGCTGTTTTCCAGCGTCTTTCTCTCCTGCGGTCTTTTTTTGCAGAAACAACCCTTGCAGCCCAATTTGGTAGAGACAAGCTGTCCAAACATACGGATGGATCCCAAGCTCTGCCCAGCAGATCCAAATTGGATTGCTTTTATCCATAGCAATGACATCTGGATCTCCAATCTAGCAACCAAAGAAGAACGGAGGCTGACATTTGTACACAAAGGTATGGTTGCCTTTAGCATGGGACGAAAGCAGAAGAAAGTCGAGGGCAGCACGAGTGGGGCAGTGTGAGGAGGCAAAAGTGGCTTGGGAGTTACACGTGAGCCTACTGGGTGACGCATTCCTCACGGGCAAGGATGCCCCAACAGAGTAGGAGGGCCATCAGTCTCTGGCATGGGGTCTGTAGAGATTGTGCCCACTTCAGTTTGCAGAACCGGCACTGTTACAGGTGCCATATAATACTAATTCTGCAGTTGTAAGAAATGGATCTTTTAGTGTAATGGCACCTACACTTTGGAATTCCCTGCTTGTTGACTTCAGGAAGGTGCCTTTGCTGAACTCCTTTCAGCGTCTGCTTGAAACATGTTTATTTAGGCAAGCCAGTCCATGCATGCAGATATTGATGTGTTTTAATCCAGGGGTAGACAAATAAAATTTGGCTGCCACCTTCTCACTCTCTTATAAGAGAAGCAGAGTTGCTTCAAAGAGTGCTTTTGCAAAGCGCAAGCCCTTTGCCAAAGCACTCTTTGAAGCAGCCACTCCTGTTCTTTTAAATATTGGTGCAGTCGGGCAGTTGGTGGAGGGCTTGTCTGTCAACCCACTCTGTCAGTAAGGTGCTAAAAGGAGAAGGAGGTCGGCTGTTTCAAAGAGTGCTTTTGCAAAGAATGTTAAGACAACTCCTCATGCTCCTGTTTGAGCCTCTGCAGTCCCCTTTTAAACCTCCAACATTATAAGTTTAAAGCAGGATGGTGGAGACTTGCAAAGTTATCCACGGAATTTTGATAGGTAGGTGCCCTGTCCACTCGTCATATCTGGCCTCCAAAGCTGACCCTCTTAAGGGCCTGGTCCAGAGAGCCAGAGAGGTTCTCCATCCCCCCTGTGGGGTAGAGTCCTTGCCATTTCAGCTACAATAATGGACATTTTATGAGTCACAATGCATGCTTCAAGCTTTCCATGGGCATTCTTCTCTCTGGAAAATAATGTTTCTTGGCATTGCCTGCATAGAATTTGCCAACATTGAAGAGGACCCCAAGTCTGCTGGGGTTGCTACCTTTGTGCTACAGGAAGAGTTTGACAGATACTCCGGCTACTGGTGGTGTCCCGATTCAGAGATGAGTAAGTATGCAGATTAGCATTAACTTTTTACACTGCTGCATCACACTGTTGACTCATGGTCTGCTAAGACCCCTAGATCCTTTTCACATGCCAGATATCCCACATCTTATATTTGTGCAGCTGGTTATACCTGCCAATGCAGAACCTTGCATTTGTTCCAATTAAAATTCATTTTGCATCCATCTTTCTGGTAGCTGTAGGTGGAGGCAAAATCCTTAGAATTCTGTATGAAGAGAATGACGAGTCGGAGGTGGAGATAATTCATGTCACATCCCCCATGTTGGAGACAAGGAGGACAGATTCCTTTCGGTACCCCAAAACCGGTGAGATAGATTGTGCTATGGCTCAAATGGGGGCGGTTTAATCGTAGTGAAAGCTACCAGCAGTTCCTTTCCATTTCAGTGTGAAATGTATTTGCTTTGGGTTACAGTATAACCAGCAAAGTGCTAGACCCACTCACGTTTATGGGTCTGTGTTAGCAACATTCGTTAATTTCAACAGGCCTACTCTGAGTAGGACTAGCATTGGGTTCACCCCTTCATTACTATTTCACTTAAAAAGTATTTCCAAACCACTTCATGATTTTAAAATGTTCTGAGTGGTCAGATCAACATGAAACTCTCAAACAATATAGTAAAAACCGGGGGGGGGGGGAGCCATACAAAATTATCAGTGGTACAGGATCCAACCTTATAGAATAAGGAAAGCTTGTGCAAAAAGATACATCTTTACAAGCTGTCGGAAGCAAATACAGTGGTACCTCGGGTTACATACGCTTCAGGTTACAGACTCCGCTAACCCAGAAATAGTACCTCGGGTTAAGAACTTTGCTTCAGGATGAGAACAGAAATCGTGCAGCGGCGGCACAGCGGCAGCAGGAGGCCCCATTAGCTAAAGTGGTGCTTCAGGTTAAGAACAGTTTCAGGTTAAGAACGGACCTCCGGAACGAATTAAGTACCCGAGGTACCACTGTAACTGAAAAGCCATTTCCATGTGTAGGGGCAGCAGCAGAAAATGCCAACTTTTAGGACACTTCCCTGAAACAATTGTACCATTCCTTAGTGACCATTGACTACTGTCTTTTCTTTTTTAGGTACCGCTAACCCCAAAGTAACTTTCAAGCTGTCTGAAATAACCATCGACGCTGACGGCAGAGTAAGTCTGATGCTCTGTTTCGCCTCATTTGAATCAGTTTGGTGACTTGTCTAGCCTGCTGGCAAATCGGTAAACTGCTGGAAAGCCAACGGGGCTAGAAACATGAGGCACCCCTTCAGACAAGGGTGGCTAGCCTTTCCCGTTCTGAGGGCCACATTGCCTTGTTTCAAATCCTCTGGGGGCCACATGCCCAAACGGCGGTGGGGGTGGGGCAAAGGTTTGGATTCTTGCACTGCAAAACGGGAGGTACATTTCACATGGTTTGCATTATAGCCATTTAAAAATCTTTTAAATTAGTGCGGTGTTCTGGTTAGAGTGTCGGACTAAGGAGCTGGGGGAAACTAGGGTTCAAATTCTCACTCAGCCATGAAGGAGACTGGGTGACCTTGAGCCAAACACTGCCTCTCAGCCCATCCTGTCTCCCAGGGTTATTGTTGGGACTAATTGAGGAGGGAGCAAACGCACACACATTTCCCCTTACTTTTTTGGAGGGGAAAAGTGTGTCTTATAGAGTGAAAAATGCGAATTGGTAGGATTAATGCCTATGTATTGTGGGGACACGGGTGGCGTTGTGGTCTAAACCACTGAGCCTCTTGGGCTTGCCGATCAGAAGGTCGGCAGTTCGAATCCCCACAACGGGGGGAGCTCCCGTTGCTCGGTCCCAGCTGTCTGTGGACAAACGCCAGCTCCATCAGCCTGAAAGCGAGATGAGCATCGCAACCCCATAGTGGCCTTTGACTGAACCATCCAGGGGTCCTTTACCTTTACCTTTTATTTGGGGGTTAATGTAATTAAGATGCATATTAACTGAAACAAGTCCACTACTGTGCAAACCATTCATTAATGAATTATAATCACAGTATTTGTGAAATTACTAGCTTATATTTTTATTTTATGTATTAAATGCGAATGCCACCCATCCTCCCAGAGGAGCCCGGAGGGTAGCAAACAACAATGGAGAAAACAATTTTTAAAAATTTATTTAAGACCTCTTAAAAGCAGTCCCAGGGACGCGGGTGGCGCTGTGGGTAAAAGCCTCAGCGCCTATGGCTTGCCGATCAAAAGGTCGGCGGTTCGAATCCCCGCGACGGGGTGCGCTCCCGTTGCTCGGTCCCAGCGCCTGCCAACCTAGCAGTTCGAAAGCACCCCCGGGTGCAAGTAGATAAATAGGGACCGCTTACCAGCGGGAAGGTAAACGGCGTTCCGTGTGCTGCGCTGGCTCGCCAGATGCAGCTTTGTCACGCTGGCCACGTGACCCGGAAGTGTCTCCAGACAGCGCTGGCCCCCGGCCTCTTGAGTGAGATGGGCGCACAACCCCAGAGTCTGTCAAGACTGGCCCGTACGGGCAGGGGTACCTTTACCTTTACCTTTACCTTTAAAAGCAGTCCCAGTGCAGATGCAGACTTCTGAATGGTACTTCCCCCACTCTCACCTCTCTTGGCAGATTTCCGATGTGGTTGACAAGGAACTCGTCCAGCCCTTCGAGATCTTGTTTGAAGGCGTGGAGTATATCACTCGAGCTGGATGGACCCGAGAGGGGAAATAGTGCGTGTTTGTATGGTTTCCTGCATTTCTCCAGCAGCTCTTGGCTGGAACTGGACTGTTCTGAGCAGGAGGCAAACTCCTGGTGTTGGAGGGCTTTGTTATTATTGGGTGTGGTGTAATGGTTAGAGGATCAGCCCAGGACCTGGGATCCCAGGGTTCGAATCCCCGCTTGGCCATGAAGCTCACTGGGCTTGACCTTGGGCCAGTTATTTTCTCTCAGCTTAACCTACCTTGCAGGGTTGTTATGAAGATAAAATGGGGAGTGGAGAACCATGTCTGCCACCTTGAGCTCCTTGGAGGAAAGAAGGTGGTCAATAGATATAATAAACCCTTGGAGGTTCTTAAGCAGAGGTTGGATGGCCACCTATATGGATGCTTTAGTTGTGATTCCTGCATTGCAGGGGGTTGGACTAGATGACCCTCGGGGTCCCTTCCAACTCTACAATGCTATGATTCTATGAAATAAATAAATGTTATTTTTTATTACAGTACATACGGCTTAGTGCCAGGATATGCTTTTTAAACTTTTTAATTTAATAATAATAATAATTTTTAAATACATTATTTGATGATGAAGATGATAATAATAATAATAATAATAATAATAATAATAATAATAATAAAAAAATAGTAATAATATTAAATAAAAATGTGCACCCTGAGACCACTCCATTGTAACTATCCAACCTCTCAAAATTTCAACACCTCTTGCGATGCTTTGATCCCTTTCCATTAACATGCTTCTAAGCAGTTTGCTGTATTGCTTTTGAGACCCGATTGAGGGGGATTGCAAGATAAATAACAATAACATTTATAATACAACGTATCTGTGATTGATATGATATGAAATCAGCCTTCTTCAGTTGTTCCAAATGGCCCTTGCATAGCCCATAGCTGTTTTTTGTTGAGCTCAATCTCCAAATCTCTTCCTTGGATAATGATGATTATACCCCGCCCATCTGACTGGGTTTCCCCAGCCACTCTGGGTGGCTCCCAACAGAATATTAGTAATAATAATAAAAAAGCGATAAAACATCAAACATTAAAATCTTCCTGATACAGATGTCTTCTAAAAGTTGTGTAGTTCTTTATTTTCTGGACATCTGATGGGAGGGCATTCCAGTACCGAGAAGGCCCTCTGTCTGGTTCCCTGTAACTTGGCTTCTCGCAGTGAGGGAACCACCAGAAGGCCCTCGGAGCTGGACCTCAGTGTCTGGGCTGAATGATGGAGATGGAAACGCTCCTTCAGGTATACTGGGCTGAGGCCGTTTAGGGCTTTAAAGCTTAGCACCAACACTTGGAACTGTGCTCGGAAACGTGGAAGGAAGCCCCACTGGCATCCACAGGGACTTGGGTTCGGATCTCTCCAGCTGGGGTTGTGGGAGCTGGGGTTTTGACTGCAGTGCTCAGCCGTAGCTCTTTCCATGTTCCGAAGCTCTCCCCCTTCCGTCCACAGTGCTTGGGCCATCTTGCTTGATCGCTCTCAAACGCGGCTTCAAATTGTGCTCCTTCCCCCTGCTTTATTTATCCCTGTGGAAGAGGACGCCATGGAGAGGCAGAAGCTGATTGACGCAGTTCCTGACTCTGTCACGCCGCTGATTGTTTACGAGGAAACAACAGACATCTGGATAAATGTAAGAATGTTATGCCCTTGAGCGAAGTCCTGCTAGCAGCCCCTAGACCAGGAGCGGGGAGACTTTTCAGGCCAAGGGCCACATTCAGCCACCTGGGCAACAGTCCGGGGGCCGCATGCTAGTGGTGGGTGGAGCAAGAGGCAAAAGTGGGTGGAGCAACAGGTGTGGCTCTTGCCTTTGTGCAACAGACTTAAGTTCAGGCCACACCCACGTCAGAGGCTTCGCCTATGCCCCGCTTAATCATGTGATTTTCTATCCAGGCAAGCAGGAAGCATTGCCACAGTCCAAGGACACATTCAAGGCAGATACAAGCAGGGTTGATGAGGGGTGTGGCCTAGTGAAGGGGCGGATCCTACAGGAAGTCCTGAGGGCCGGATAGAGAGGCCTGAAGGGCCCCGTTCAGTTCCTGGGTCTGAGGTTCTTCAGCCACGCCCTAGTGTGATGTCATAGTTTATTGACAACGTTATAACTGCATGGAGGGAAAGTGTCCGCTACAGAATCTCGACAAATATTGCAGCTTCTAAATGAAAGTGGGTGGTCAGTTTGCCTGCCCTACAGGAAATAGCTCACACAGGCTCCAGGGGATGGTAGGTGCTGATTGTGTAAGAAATGACTGGACAGGCAGGGGAATTTTGGGAGGAAGGCACCTCAAAGGTGGCTGAAGGACTGAGTTGTTCAGGGTACGCTGATTTTGCTAGTGACCGTATTTTCAGGTAACACTAAACTGTGGTCCATTGCACTGCGCTGGCCAGCCTTAACGCTTTGTGTCCGGGAGGAAGACTTTGACAGAGCTTAGTTTCAGTTTTAAAGAATCCCAGCTTAGCTTTAATTGCTTGTACTAGGGATCCTGGTTTGAAACAAACGGATAAGTTTCACAGCAAGCCACCTCCAAACCTTAACTAAACAGATCTTGTGTCAAGCTAATTCTCCCCTGGTCTCCTTGCTGGCCCAAATAGGACTAGTTTAGCCAGCTAGCCCTGGTGATCATCTAATGTTTATTGAATGGATTTCCCCCCAAATTGATATTTGAATTCTGAATTTGTTGTTATTCACATTTTATACTGTATTTTAGTCTGTTTTTTGTTGCATCAATTAAGTGTTTTAAATTTGTTGTTAGTCATCCTGAGCCCGTTTTTTTGAACTGCGAAGGGCGGGGTATAAATAAAAAATTATTTATTTATTTATTTATTTATTTATTTATTATTAAACCAAGATTCCTGATTCAAACATAAAACAGACAAAGCTGGCATTCCTTAAAAGCGAAAAAAGACTCTGCCATGACTGTGCTGGAAGAAGAAAGAAAGGGGTGTGGGAGGCAGACTCTTTGCTCTGCATTGACTAGGCTTGTCTGCATAATATTAAACCTCAGTTTACAGTTGCATGTGAATGGGCCCAATCTCCATCCTTCAGTTCAACTTCCAACCCTCCTGTGTTCCAACAGGTCCACGATATCTTCCACGTTTTCCCCCAAACCAATGAGGATGAGATAGAGTTCATCTTTGCCTCCGAGTGCAAAACAGAATTCCGCCACCTGTACAGAATCACAACTGTTTTAAAGGAGAGCCGGTACAAGCGCTCGAGTGGAGGACTCCCTGCTCCAAGTAACCAGCTTTGGCTGTTTTTGCTCCTAAGTTCAAATGAAATAGAATAAACTGCACCAGGTGGTTGAGGGAATTCATTTTCTTAGGAGATTTCTTTCAGGTTGGCATCCCAGCATTGCAGTGGCCCGTTAGGCTTGGATTAGGGCTGTAAGCATCCTGCACTTCCGCAAGTCAGCTTGCGCCCCACTTTAAAGTAAAGTAAGCTGCGAGTCCTTATGATTCTGAAGATGAGTTTGAAGTGTTGTAAGGAATCTCAGTAGCCCAAGAGGAAAGATATGGAAAGTGTGGGTGCTTTGCTTTGTCTAGACCGGTACCCAACGTTTGTGGAATACAGTGTGCAAACAAAGCAACAATTTGCATTTTCTCTCTGTAATCTAGACTGGAGAACTTGACAGCCGAAACTGGCTGGCTTGCCTCGTGCTGGGCAGGCAAGGATCCAAACATCAGCTTCTAAAGCCCAGATTTCCCTTGCAGGGAGTTGGACTAGAGGAACCTTGGAGTCCCTGTCAACTCTGCAATTCTGTGATTCCTTACCAGCCTTCTTGCATGTCAAGATCAGCAGAGGGGGCCCTCTGGGTTGTTCCGCCGCCCTCAGAAGTGTGTGGGGTGACAGCCCAGGAGAGGGTCTTGTAGCAGCCCCATAAGCAGCCTTTGCCTGCTGTTGGACTACAGCTCCCATCAGCCCCTGCCACCGCGCAGACATTCCGATAATTTTGATCTTGATTTTTGCAGGTGATTTCCTGTGTCCCATCAAAGAAGAGGTGCCAATTACCAGTGGGGAATGGGAAGTTCTTGGCCGACACGGGTCCAACGTAAGACCCTTCAATTTTATTTTATTTTTAATTTGGCAAATGCATTCGGGAATTTTAAGTATGTGCTTGACCTCTCCCCAAAAGCATGAGCTGAAACATGGGTTGAGCATCAAGCCAGTCTGATCAAGGGGGGAAACTTAAATGCTACCTCAGTGCCCACATAGTGAAAAACAGAACAGACAATGCAGTCACGGATTTGTGTGGAATTATCATTTAGGTTCATTGTTGCCGTTGTCATTTATTGTTCACGTTCCACATGCATATCTTATGTAAAATGTAGAAAACCTAACTGTAGAAAATATAACAAAAACAACTAAAAACAGTATGTGATGGGGGGTGGGTTGTTTTGTGTTTTTTGAACCGCAATGTAATGTGGACGCCGATGGCAGCGACCAATTTGTCTGGTTAGGAAGGCTTGTTGGCAGAGAAATGTCTTCAGTTGTTTCCAGAAACTGCAGAAAATTGGTGCCTGTCGTATCTTGACTCGGCAGCTATTACACAGAACAGGGGGAGCCACACTAAAAGCCCAGCTCCGAGTTAGCTGCACAGCAGATCTCTCCAGTAACAAACAAGAGAGTGGCGTTCCTACCTGCGACATGCCACCTTGCAGCTTGGTTCCATGGATCTCTGGCCCCTACAAAGTAACTGGGCATGAGGAAGCAGCCACAGGGGTTGTGCAACCCCACCACAGGCTCAGGAATCTGCACACAGCCCCTGTTTTCACATCCTGTTAGGGACATACCCATAGAAATCCAAAGTGGGGGAAAACATGCAATTGAAGTTGTGTAATGGAGGGAAAACAGGCATTGCAGGTCTCGGAATTTCCACTCCTCCCCTGAGCAGGGGCACTGGTGTCCAAAGGGATCTTTCTGGGGGTGGGAGCAAACAAGACATCGAAAGGGAGGGAAGTCGGCTAATTTCCCACAAAAACAGAAAACGAGAATAGCGTTTGTGTGTTTTCCTTCATATCTCAGGTTCTGCAGATGCTAGAAGCCTCTTTAAAAAAAAAAGTTGGCAATGCAGGTCTCAATATTCATCCAGGGAGGGGCACACATCTTTTGAATGCTCCCCGCTAGTTGAAATCAAACATAGTTGGCATAGTTTGTGCTGAGATAGACCCCTTGTTCCTGATGTGCTAGTCCTCAGTTTGCAGGGATTTGCAGTCGGAAGTGGTATGTGCCCTGCAGTGAGTGGTATAGTCTGTCCTACCGCTTCATTCTCTGGCCAGCATCAAGATTCACCCGAGAGCTTTTTTCATCAGCCAGGAGGCTGCAGTGGGGTGTAACTTCTTCCTTTAGGTGTAAAGGTAAAGGTACCCCTGCCCGTACGGGCCAGTCATGTCCGACTCTAGGGTTGCGCGCCCATCTCGCTTAAGAGGCCGGGGGCCAGCGCTGTCCGGAGACACTTCCAGGTCATGTGGCCAGCGTGACGAAGCTGCTCTGGCGAGCCTGCACCAGCGCAGCACACAGAAACGCCGTTTACCTTCCCGCTATAAAGCGGTACCTATTTATCTACTTGCACTTAAGAGTGCTTTCGAACTGCTAGGTGGGCAGGAGCTGGGACTGAACAACGGGAGCTCACCCCGCTGCGGGGATTCGAACCGCCGACCATACGATCGGCAAGTCCTAGGCGCTGAGGTTTTACTCACAGCGCCACCCGCGTCCCTTCCTTTAGGTGTACTTGGGTTTTAAATTAGCTTTCCACATAGGCAGTTGAAATGAACTTGGATATAGTTCTATCCAACCTGGGAATTGTTGATGGTACCAACTTGGGTCACTTCTGTGTTTTTGTGTGTGTGTGTTTGTTTTTTTATCAGATCCGGGTGGATGAAGCTAAAAAACTGGTATATTTTGAAGGTACAAAGGATTCCCCCTTGGAACATCACTTGTATGTTGTTAACTACGAGAACCCCGGGGAGATCAAGCGGCTGACAGAAGCTGGTTTCTCCTACGCCTGCTGCGTCAGTCAGGTATTTCACCTCCTTCGCTGTGGTTTTGTTCTGTGCTGAGTTCCCACATGAAGATAGCAGGCAGGAACTGTGCGCTGATGCACAACCCCGAATTTCATCACTTTACTCCTGCAATTTTATGGGTTAATTGGTTTGCAAACTGATTATTTCTGGAACCAATTAACACAGGCACGAGTACTAAACGTCTACGAGATTCCACAACATCTCCAGAGATGGCTTTTACGTTGGGTGGAAGCTCAAATATAAAATGGAAACTAACAGGGAAATGGTATAAACCGCTGTGTGATGGCAGCATAAACCTTGAGGGAAATTGCTTGGTAGGCCCAAGCTGGTTTTCAGAGGTGGTCACTTCTTTCTCCTCCTGCCCTCTAGAACTGTGACATGGTGATTTGTAAATTCAGCAACCAGAGGAACCCGCACGAGGTGTCTCTCTACAAGCTGACCGGCCTCGAAGATGACATTTCCAACAGGTCCAAGGAATTCTGGGCTACCATTTTAGATTCCGCAGGTATTTCAGATATGGCGCCAGGCTTTTAAGAAGGTGAAAGGGCATCTGTCCCTGAGCCTTGTTTCATCCTTGCCCTCATGCATCCTCTTCCTTTATTTGTCGGTTCGTTTCACGTGTGAACCAATTCTTACAAAGCATCCTGAAGGAATTTTGCAGTGCTTCCTCATGTGAGGAAGCCAGTTAAAAACTGGTGGGACTCTGTGAGGTGGAGGTGGGGAGCCTTTTCCATCCCAGCGGCCATATTCCCTCATGGGCAGCCTTCAGCGGGCCACAGGGCCCTGGTGTGCAACAGATGCAACTATAGCCTCTGTCTGGTAGGCCAAGCCAGAGTCAGAGGTTTCTCCACACACACACACACACACACACACACCCCTCCACGTTCCAGGACAGGCAAAAGCATCTGAGGAGGGTGCCATGCAGGACTGGTTTTCTGGAGAGAGGAGGGTGGACCAGGGAGGCTCCTGAGAGCTATGAGGCTCGGAGGGCCACTTCTGGCCCATGTGACTGGGGCTCCCCCTTTCCTGGTGTAAGGATTGTGGTTGTGCAGTCAGAATCTGATTTTATGCAGGGGTGTACAGACTTAAACCTAAACGGCCTCGGCCCAGTATACCTGAAGGAGTGTCTCCACCCCCATCATTCTGCCCGGACGCTGAGGTCCAGTGCCGAGGGCCTTCTGGCGGTTCCCTCACGGCGAGAAGCAAAGCTACAGGGAACCAGGCAGAGGGCCTTCTTGGTAGTGGCGCCCGCCCTGTGGAACGCCCTCCCATAAGATGTCAAAGAGATAAACAACTACCTGACTTTTAGAAAACATTTGAAGGCAGCCCTGTTCTGGGAAGTTTTTAATATGTGACAATTTGATGTATTTTTAATCTTTGTTGGAAGCCGCCCAGAGTGGCTGGGGAAACCCAGCCAGATGGGCGGGGTACAAATAAATTATTATTATTATTATTATTATTATTATTATTATTATTATTATTATTATTATTTTATTTTTAAAAAGATAAAAGAAACAACGGATAGCAGTACAGTTTTGTAGCAGAGGGCAGAAACCTTCTTCTAGGCTTTGTCATGGGAAATACAGTCATACCATGGATCCTGAACGCCTTTCAAGTCAAACATTTTGGCTCCTGAACACCGCAAACCTGGAAGTGACTGTTCTGGTTTGTGAACGTTCTTTGGAAGCCGAACGTCCGACACGGCTTCCGATTGGCTGCAGGAGCTTCTTGCAGCCAATCAGAAGCAGTACTTGGGTTTCCAAGGTACGACTGTACAGCACTCAAGGCTGCTTATTATTATAACCGTTTCAGGTAAAGCACCTATTGGCTAGTGCTTGTGACATCCTGGATGCCAGTAGGGACACCCTCACCCATCTGAAGCTGTTCCTAAATATGCCTTGCTTGAAGTTTGAGGCTTGTGGTTATTGATTTGGGTTGGACTGAAGGTTTTGGGAACCTGTGGATGTTCAGCGTTGGGATACAATGGCCAACTCCGCTCTGCCATGCCGAACGCAAACGACACCTGTGCTTGCATCCTTGCAGGGCCTCTCCCAGATTACGTTCCGCCCGAGATCTTCTCTTTCGAGAGCTCCTCAGGGTTTTTGCTTTATGGGATGATCTACAAGCCCCACAACCTACAACTCGGGAAGAAGTACCCCACAGTACTCTTCATATACGGGGGCCCCCAGGTCAGTTGATAACATTGTTCCTGGAAGCTGTTAATAAAAAAATTCTGTTTTTAATCAGCCCCCCTGTGTGCAATGTAGACGTTTAATCTGCGCTTCCTTCCAGGTGCAACTTGTGAACAACCGGTTTAAAGGGGTCAAATACTTCCGCCTGAACACCCTAGCGTCCCTTGGTTATGTTGTGGTGGTGATTGACAACAGGGGATCCTGCCACCGCGGTCTGAAGTTCGAAGGTGCCTTTAAATATAAGATGGTAAGTTGCTCAGTGGGTACAGAAGTCATGACACAGGTCTGAGTGCTGCGACCTTGCGTTTTTATTAAGAGATGAGATAATCTCATAGAATTCTGCCTCAGAGGCCTCAGCCCTCCTTTCCCAGTTGTACAGTGGTGCCTTGCAAGACGAAATTAATTAGTTCCACGAGTTTTGTCGTCTTGCGATTTTTTTCGTCTTGCGAAGCACGGTGTCGGGAAAGTTTCGGAAAAGCTTCAAAAATCACCAGAGTCTTCAAAAACCTCAAAAAAGGCTACCACACCACGTTCTTTGAGTTGCTCCTCGAAGTCAAGTCGCAACTGTATTAACGGTGTTAAGAAAAAGGAAACAAACTTGCAAGACGTTTTCGTCTTGCAAAGCAAGCCCATAGGGAAAATCGTCTTGCGAAGCAGCTCAAAAAACAACAAACCCTTTCGTCTAGCGAGTTTTTTGTCTTGCGAGGCATTCGTCTTGCGAGGTACCACTGTATTTAGGTTCAGAAAAAGCATTGCATTGGAGGTCATAGAAGGCTTTCCCCCCCCAAGCCTAATTCTGATTTTTTTTTGGCGGGGTGGGGGGGGAAACAGCTAGGGAGTGTAAGGTTAACCCTTCCCTGTGCATGATGACACTTCCCCCTCCCCATTGTCCATGATGCCATTATTTTTCCAAGCCTAATATTATTTTTGGGGGGTGGTTTCTTCCAACAGGGACAAATTGAAATAAGTGACCAAGTGGAAGGTTTGCAGTACTTGGCCTCCCGATACGAATTCATCGACTTGGACCGGGTTGGCATTCATGGCTGGTCCTACGGGGGATACCTCTCCCTTATGGCCTTGTTGCAGAAGCCAGAGATCTTCAAGGTAGGATAATGTACAACAAGACAGCCGGCTGTGTGTCTGTCTGTGTGTGTGTTTGTGTTGTGTGTTTCCATTTCCAGCTTTTGCAAGATGTCCTGTTCATTTGACAGTTCAAGTCTTGTTAGGATTGATTGTACCATCTGTAAATATAACACATAAGAAGATGCTTTATGCTGAGCCAGACCCGTTGGCCCATCTAGTTCAGTATTGTCAACACTGACTGGCAGCAGCTCTCCAGGGTTTCATGCAGGGAATCTTTCCCAGCCCTACCTGCAGATGCTGCCAGGGGTTGAACCTGGGACCCTCTGCAGGTGATCAACCCTTCTTGACCTATGGTCCTTCCCCCAAAGAATCCCGTTTGCAAGGGGTCAAGTTTGTATGGAAAAATTCACTTTCAGTCAGGAGAAAATGAGTGCCTGCCTCAAAAAATAAAAAAGTTGGTCATCTCTGCCCATGGTGACCGAAAGGTATTGGTACCACTATATAAAGTTGCATAAAACTTGGAACTGGATAACTTGAAAGGTGGTCTTTTATATACCCAGCCAATCGGCTGCAACAGATACCATCTCATCAGCTGGTCCATTCTGTACAATGTCGGAATACGGCATGGGTAGGCAAACTAAGGCCCGGGGGCCGGATCCAGTCCAATCGCCTTCTAAATCCAGCCTGCGGACAGTCCGGGAATATAGTCCGGCCCCCCACAAGGTCTGAGGGATATAAGATATGTCAAATGAACCATGGAAAGAGAAGAAAGGAAGTCATTGATATCTTAAGGATGTAAAATGTCTGTTTGAAATTGTAAAACAGAAAAATTAATAAAAATTATTAAAAATGGGGGGGGGGAGTCACATTACACAAAAGCTGCCATGGGGTTTTCAACTTTTTCTTTTTACTGTTAATTTCATTGTTTCATTCTTTTTGCAGACTGCTTTCATATTCCCTCCCCCCCCCAACAATCCAGTGTTATATATGTACATTTTATGAAATAAATGCATTAATGAGAATAACACAACACTGACTGTCTTCTTTCCCATAGGTCGCCATTGCTGGTGCCCCAGTCACCCTGTGGCTCTTCTACGATACAGGGTACACCGAGCGCTACATGGGTCACCCAGATAATAACGAACAGGGCTATTACCTCGGCTCCGTGGCTATGCAAGCGGATAAGTTTCCTTCAGAGTAAGTGTGTTCCTGCCCCCCCTTCACCCCCAACTGTGCTACATTCCGACCTAACGCTGCTGTTTCTTGCCTAATTAAATGCTTAAACGGTTGCGTGGTAGTAAAGAACCACTTAATAAACTTGAATGGGCATTTACATAATCACGGCCCATTACGAGTAATCTGCTTTTCTAGCCTTGTTGTCATTAAAGTATTAACTTTTGCCTCAAGAAATTGCAGGCGGACCTCCCCCCTGCCTCAAATTACGCAATTAGCCCCAGTGCTAATTAAGTGCATTAATTAGACATACCACCCTAGTGGCTGGCTGTATATCAGCCACAGGAGTTGTTAACAGGGCTTGAGAGGGAAGATTGTGTCTTCTATCCTAGAGTGGCCCTGTCAGCTCCTCCATACAGACACATACACCGTCTGCTTCTTCCGACTTAGGCTTGTATTCTGCCATCCGTTCCCACCTTTTCTTATTGGCCTGGGGTTTAAATTCTGTGTTTAAATCTTCTGGGACGGTGAATGGAGAGATGGGAGGCTGGAGGAAGTGTACAGTGGTACCTCGGGTTAAGTACGTAATTCGTTCCGGAGGTCTGTTCTTAACCTGAAACTGTTCTTAACCTGAAGCACCACTTTAACTAATGGGGCCTCTTGCTGCTGCCGCGCCGCCAGAGCCCGATTTCTGTTCTTATCCTGAAGCAAAGTTCTTAACCTGAAGCACTATTTCTGGGTTAGCGGAGTGTGTAACCTGAAGCGTATGTAACCAAGGTACCACTGTATTGTTTTGGAGCCTTGGGATCAGCGATGTGGGTTTTCCCCGAAAACTTAGAACACATTTCTGCTGTCCTAAATCAATGAAAGATCTGATTTCACACAGTCGTTTTGATTTGCTTTTGATTTGATTTGCTTCACAGAGGTTTACCCCATAAATTATTCTTGGCATTTGCGGCAAAAAGTGGTATATAAATAAACTAGAACAGGCATATTCTGTAGATATGGGAACCGTTAGCCCAATATCCGAAAGTAGTTAAATCGTTTTATTACAAGGGGGAAATCAGTTTAAGTGCGTTTCAGCTGTGATCTTCTGTGCTGAGGGTGGCTGGTCTGTGGTCCTATAGTTGTTGCAGTTCACCAACATCCCTGACCATTGGTCATGCTGGCTGCAGGAGCCATTGGGAGGTGGGGTGCAGCAACTGGAAGGCCACAAGTTCCTCAACCCTCCTATATGTGTTTCCCTGGGAGTAAGTTCCATTGAACTTAATACGACTTATAAGCAGTCATTGATAGGATTGTGATATTCGCATGGTTTAGATGACCTAGCTAATTCAAAACTTTGTTTCGAAATTATTTTGTTGGAATCCTAAACATGGATGAAGTGATTATTGTTTATGTATAGTGGACAGACTAAGAATGGGAAGTTCTTTAATCTCTGAACTGCATGTTTTCTATTTCCTCTTGAAAGTTCTTTTCTATCTCTTCTTCTTATCTCTTTTTTTGTTATGTTTTTATTTTACTTAGAATAATGTTGGACAAAAAGGATATTTGAGATTGTTTTGTATTTCTCTTTATAAACTCTAACAAAAAATACTTTATTTTTTAAAAAAGGAATCCCAAACATGTCAGCTTAAAGCTTCCCTTCCATTATTTAGATTTTAACTGGAGGGTTGAATGAAAAAACACTGGAAAAAGTTAACATAACCCATTTAGCAGGCCTAAAGATCTTTCTGTGTCACTTCCTAGGGATAGACAGCTGAAAAAAGAATTGCCACTTTGATGTTCAGATCCAGGTTTCAGTTGCCCAGTATGACTTGTGTTTTGCATTTTGTTACTAATTGATTTTATGAATCTCTCTCTATTTCTGAACAATTAAAATGGGCTGTGGGGGAAATAAAGCAGTGGGGGAAATTCCAACCCTGGGGGTCTGTTATTTCACGCTCCCCTTCTGGTATTAGCTACATAGGTATCTTCAGACGATACCAGAATTCGAAGAAATTCTAATTCAAACGATCTGAAGCTTTGCTTACTGTTTCTCCCCTCGTCCTTTCAGACCCAACCGGTTGTTATTGTTGCATGGATTCCTCGATGAAAATGTTCATTTTGCACATACCAGCATCTTGCTTAGTTTTCTGGTCCGGGCTGCAAAGCCTTACGATCTACAGGTAAGATGCTCTAGGGCAGCCTTCACCAACCTGGTGCCCTCCCACCCATTTTGGACTACAACTCCCATCAGCCCCAGCCAGATACGAACATGCCTTTTTGTCACATACACATCTCCTTTGCTTTCCCCTTCACAGTATAGCAAACAAACCAGGGCATCTTCCATTAACTATAGTTTACCGTTTTGTCCCAACTGAGAAACCGTGGTTAGTGCCTTCGGAACAAGCTAGGATAAGCTTCATATCCACAAAGGCTTCATATCCTGGCCTTCTCCGAACCTCTTAACCATGGGTAGGCAAACTAAGGCCCACGGGCCGGATCATGCCCAATTGCCTTCTGGATCCGGCCCACGGACAGCCTGGGAATCGCCATGTGGATCGCCAGCGTGTGTGTTCTTTCCCTTACCCTCCATGGCAGTGGCGACTCCTCCCTCCCTCCTCCTGGTTTCTCCCCGCCCTGCCTAGAGGAGGAAGGGGGCTGGGCTTTGTTGGTGCCAGCAGCAGCAGCAGCAGCACTTGAGCAGCTGCCATTTTAAGCAGCCCCTCTCCGGAGCCCTTTCACACGCCGCTCATCGTCCCTCCACCAGCCCCTGCTGCTCACAAGACACAGGTAAGCAGCCACCGGGGCTCATGGTGCTCTTGCATCATTACCCCCCCCCAAAAAAATACAGTCTGGCCCCCCTCAAGGTCTGAGGGACAGTGGAACGGCCCCCTGCTGAAAAAGTTTGCTGACCCCTGCTCTTAACCATCGTTTCTGCTGCCCACCAACCGCTCCTGTCCCTTCTAGTTTTTAATTTTTTTTATCAAAACAGTTGAGGTTGGTTGGGGGGGGGTGCCTACTTCTTGTTGTTGTCTGTGCTTTATTGGGCTTTTTGCGGGGTGTGTGGGTGTTTTGCTTGTTTTGTTATGGTTCTGAGCATTGCAAAAAAATAAAAACAAAAACTTTATTTTCTTAAATTACAAAACAGCAACCATAGCGTTAGAACAAAGCTTACCCTTCCGGACTTTCTGAATACATGAGGTTACATTACATCAGTGCTTAGATCTCTTAAGTTGTTTTGTTTTTAGTGGTGTGGTAGTTCCAGTTACCACATGCAATCACAGTAACAAAACGAAAAAAGGAATATCGTGGAAAAGGATTTTCCTCTTTAGCACTGTATGTAAGAAAAGGATGCCAATTCACCCAAAATGTGTCTTTTGGTTTAATTCCCTTGGCTATATTTAGTTTAGTAGTTAATTTTTTTTACCAGTGCTAATTGCGAGCGTTTCTAGTTTTTCCTCTCTTGAAATGGTTGCTTTGAGGTGCCAAGGGCAATTTCCAAATGTGCCCCCCGGCAAAGTTTGAGGATTCCTGCTTCTTCCTCTATAAAAGCTTTTTTTCCCCTTTTAAAGTTTTTATTAAAGACTTTCTTGTGTAATAAAACCAACAAATCAACAAGAGAAAGTACGTAGAGCGCCTCCACTTTCAATTCGTTGAGTCTTTGTCGCAGTTCGTTTACATTTGGTATGAAACACGATTGTTAAAGACATTGTGCGTTTGGGGGAAGAAGGAAAGAGAGAGAGAGAGATCGGTTGTGGGGGGCGAAAATGATATTTCGTTCTGTTGCATAGTGTTTGTAGGGGTTTTGTGTCAGCATCACATGGGTAGGTCCTTTATTTATACATATATATTTATTTTTATTGGCACTGCAAGAGAATGGAGGGTCCAGAGCTTGGTTGGTTGTGTTTGGTTGGTTGCAGTATGTTTTGTTTGCAGGGGGACGGGTGGGCTGAGTGGGTCAGATGCTTTTGAGGGGGGATTTAGAAGACATCTGAAGGCAGCCCTGTTTAGGGAAGCTTTTATTGTTTGATGGACTACTATATTTTAATATTTCGTTGGAAGCCACCCAGAGTGGCTGGGGAAACCCAGACAGATGGACAGGGTATAATAAATAATAATAATAATAATAATAATAATAATAACAACAACAACAACAACAACAACAACAACAACAACAACAACAAACAACAAAACAACTATTATTATTATTATTATTATTAGCCGTTGTCGTGTTGTGCTGTATATGTGATAAAAGGGGGCATTTAGAGAAGCATTTGTAAACCTCTTAACCAGGCTTCCTCAGACTCGGCCCTCCCGATGTTTTTTGAGACTACAATTCCCATCATCCCTGACCACTGGTCCTGCTAGCTAGGGATCATGGGAGTTGTAGGCCAAAAACATTCAGAAAGATACCTAGCAACGCACGACACAAAAGCAAAAATATCACTGCAACAATAATGCAGTGATAGAACTTAAAACCAGCAAAGCAGTAGTATAAAAGCATATTAAAAATAAGAATTCAGACAGCGAAGGCAGGGCCAAAGAAAGCCTGGGCAAAAAGATAAAGGCCTTACAAGACATCTGAAGCAGCAGATTATGTGAATACCTCAAGAAAGAAGGAAAATTGACTCCTTTCCCCCCTTTCTTTAGATCTATCCACAAGAGAGGCACAGCATCAGGGTCCCTGAGTCTGGAGAACACTATGAACTGCACCTCCTGTATTATCTCCAGGAGAATCTGGGTTCACACATGGCCGTGCTGAAGGCAGAGCACTGATGACACCCCCCCTCCCTCCCGCCCACCCTTCCAGGAACTCTCAGCACAGACAAATACAGCTGCTTAACCAAACGCCTCGGAAAGGGGCGTAATGTTGTTGGTGCCTGCTTCCCACACAGATCAGTCGACACGTCCTCGGCCTTGCTTCGTTTTATTTCTCCTTATTTTTTTAAAAAAGTCAACCCGGTGCCATACAAGGAGACGACGCTGTACAGCAAATGAATACTTTTAAATGTAAATAAAGAAAGTCAACATCTGTGCTACTTGGCAGTCCAGAGGTTTTTTTTTCTCTTTTAAGGGTGCTTCACACACTCCAGAGTAAGTGAGCTTACCCAAAACTTTATACCATGGGTAGGCAAACTAAGGCCTGGGGGCCGGATCCGGCCCAATCGCCTTCTAAATCCGGCCTGAAGACGGTCCAGGAATCAGCGTGTTTTTACATGAGTAGAATGTGTGCTTTTATTTAAAATGCATCTCTGGGTTATTTGTGGGGCATAGGAATTCATTCATTTCCTCCCCCCCCAAAAAAAATATAGTCCGGCCCCCCCACAAGGTCTGAGGGACAGTGGACCGGCCCCCTGCTGAAAAAGTTTGCTGACCCCTGCTTTATACAGTTGTACCTTGGTTCTCGAACAGAATGCGTTCCAGGAGTCCGTTCAACTCCTAGAACTGTTCGAAAACCAAGGTGCGGCTTCCTATTGGCTGCAGGAGTGTCCTGCAGCCAACTGGAAGCTGCGTAAGCCATGCCGGACGTTCGGTTTCTGAAAATTGTTCTGAAACTGGAACACTCACTTCCGGGTTTCAATCATTTGGGAGCCGATTTGTTTGGGAGCCCAAGGTGTTTGAGATCCAAGGTACGACTTTACTGCTTAATATCGTAAAGATCTCTAAGCACTCTGAAAAACAATGATAATACAACATAAATTATCCAGTAAAAGTTCCGAAAACGAGATAAAAACAAAAACTATGTATCACAGAAGTGTGCAGTGTGATAAGCTGTGATTCCTACATTGCTGGCGGTTGAGCTAGATGACTCTTGCGTTCCCTTACAGCTCTGCAGCTCTGTGATTCTACGAATGAGCAGCAACTGAACTCTTCTTGTCAAGTGCTGCATTTGCACAGTTATTATTACTCTTTGGCTTGCTTTGGCTCTTTTCCTATCCCTCCCCAGTTTCTTTGCTCTTTAAAATACAGTAGCTTTGGACGTTCTGTCCACGTAATATGAACACTCTTATGGGTGGCTAATGATGGGGTGGTCAGTTGAGAGCTTTGTTGGTCGTCGAGGAAGAAGCCCATTTGGTAGGAGAAGCTGTACAGTGGTACCTCGGGTTAAGAACTTAATTTGTTCTGGAGGTCCATTCTTAACCTGAAACTGTTCTTAACCTGAGGTACCACTTTAGCTAATGGGGCTTCCCGCTGCTGCTGCGCCACCGGAGCACAATTTCTGTTCTCATCCTGAAGCAAAGTTCTTAACCCGAGGTGCTATTTCTGGGTTAGTGGAGTCTGTAACCTGAAGCGTCTGTAACCCAAGGTACCACTGTATTTTGTAAATGGACCCACTTTGCCGTAGCTTAGTGGCAGCTCACCCACTTTGAATGCATAAGATCTCAGGTTGAATCCCCAGCATCTCCCAAGTAAGCTTGGGAGAGGCCCCTGTCTGAAACCCTGCCAGTCAGTGCTGACATTACTGAGCTTGATGCGCCAACTTAGTGTAAGGCAGCTTCCGATGTCCCTATGAGCCACCCATTTCAAAGGGGCAAGCTGTCATCCTTTTTGCAGAGCACAATTTTTCATTGGTGGCCACCCAGCCTAAGAGCTGATGGGAAGATTTCCTGATCTTTAAAAGTGTTGAGGTTCTCTTGAACGCTGCAGGTGCAGACTATAAGCAGCTTCAAAGGTCAGCGCTTTGTGTTCCCAAAGCCCCCTGAGATTCCACGAGCTGTTTATCTCCTTGCCGCACCTTCCTTCAACAGCTGATCAGAGAGGGGGGTCTCTTCAGCTGCAAATGCAGATTGTTCTGCGTTTTCAGCTCAAGCGGGGAAGGTTGTACTAAGGTAACTCGAGCATTTTGGCTTGGAACAGCCACCCACACATACACCGAAGCTCCTGTTCGCGTGGCTAACGAAAACTCGGCAAATAAACCCCGTGTCCCTGTACATGCCTCCCCACCCCCTCCCTGTCAAGGATATCTCAACGCCTTGTTCACTTTGTTCTGCACCGGTAAGTAGACGTTCGGGTTTTCAGTTTCAGAACACACCGTCCTGCTGTTTCGAAACACCTGGCTCACAGTAACCAGGCGGCGCATCTCCGGTGTCGCGTCTGCACATCGATGTCCCTGATTATGCAAAGAGGAAGCGTCTAGTTAGCTCGTGTTTTCCTTCCTTTTGGAATCATACCGAACAGCCTGATAGCCTTTCCTAAGAAGGTCTCGCCACCTCCCTCAGAAAATTAAGCTTTACTTACTGTATTTTTTGCTCTATAAGATGCACAAGACCACAAGATGCACCTAGTTTTTGGAGGAGGAAAACAAGAAGAAAAAAAACCTGAATCTCAGAAGCCAGAACAGCAAGAGGGATTGCTGCGCAGTGAAAGCAGCAATCCCTCTTGCTGTTCTGGCTTCTGTGATAGCCGCGCAGCCTGCATTCGCTCCATAAGACGCACACACATTTCCCCTTACTTTTTAGGAGGGGAAAAGTGAGTCTTATAGAGCAAAAAATACAGCAATTTATCGGTCCCTCTACAAACTGGGAGGGGTAGCTAATATGTCACCAAACAAAATCAGGATTCAAGAGGACCTTAACAGGTTGGAGAACTGTGTCCATAAATGAATTTCAGTAGGGGCAAATGACAGGTTTTGCACTTAGGCAGGAAGAACCAGCTGCACAAATATGAGGTGGGGGACACCTGGCTTGACAGCAGTCTATGTAAAAAAAGATGTAGGTGTTGGAGTAGACCACAAGCTAAACACGAATCAATTCAATGCAATTCTAGGCTGCATCAACAGAAGTCTAGGGTTCAAATCAAGGGAAGTAATAATACCACTCTATTCTGCCTTGGTCAGACCACACCTGGAGTACTGTGTCCTGTTCTGCGCAGAGGAGGGCAACCAAGATGATAAAGGGCCTGATAACCAAGCCTCATGAAGAACAGTTGAGGGAGTTGGGTATGTTCAGCCTGGAGAAGAGGAAGACTGAAAGTTGACATGAGAGCTGTTTTTGAATGTCTGAAGTGTTGCCACATGGAAGATGGAGCACGCTTGTTTTCTCCTGCTCCAGAGGGTGGGACTCGAACCAATTAATTCAAATGACAATAAGGTAAAAGGTAAAGGACCCCATGATGGTTAAGTCCAATCAAAGGCGGCTATGGTTGCGGCGCTCTGCTTATCTCGCTTTCAGGCCAAGGGAGCTGGCATTTGTCCACAGACAGCTTTCCGGGTCATGTGGCCAGCAAGACTAAGCTGCTTCTGGTGCAGTGGGACACCGTGACAGAAGCCAGATCGCACAGAAATGCCGTTCACCTTCCTGCCACAGTGGTACCTATTTATCTACTTGCACTGGCGTGCTTTTGAACTGCTAGGTTGGCAGGAGCTGGGACAGAACAATGGGAGCTCCCCCCATCGTGGGGATTCAAACCGCCGACCTTCTGATCGGCAAGCCCAAGAGGCTCAGTGGTTTAGCACCACAGTGCCAAACATTAGGAATATCTTCCTGATGGTAGGTATTGTTGGACAGTGAAACAGACTACCTTTGAAGGTGGCCAATTCTCCTTCATAGGAAATTTTTAAAGAGAGGTTGGAGGGCCATCTGTCAGGGATTCTTTAGCTGTGATTCCTCCACTGCAGGGGCTGGACTAGATGATCCTTGGGATCCCTTCCAGCCCTACAACTCAGTGAATACCCACCTACCCCAGAAAATGCATCCCAGCCAATGTCCTTATTTAACTTTTATTTCCTAGTAACTGGGTTGTATCCACTGTAGTGCTAAGTTTTAGTCACTTAGTGGCATAGTTGCTCTGCTAGTAAAATATTCGTTGCCTATTGGGATCAAGTACTCTTTTTAGCACCTGCTAAGGACATTCTTGCTTAGACAAGCCTACAGAGACGCTTGTAAAGTTGAGGTAATTTTAATCTCCTTTAGTATTTTAACTATTGTATGAGTTAAAGTATGATTGTGATTCTTCTTCTTCTTGATTTTGTGGTTTTATCTTTTTGTAAACCGCTTTGAGGTGGTTTTTGTTTTTTTAACCTATCAAATGCTGTATAAATTTAATGAAGTAATAAATAATAATAAGATCCACAAGCAGGTAGCTGGTGATTTTATCTTTTTGCACGGGAGATTGTGCAACCTGTCAGACAAAAGTTTTCTTGGATTCTTCTGTGGCACAATATTAAAACTCACTCATCAGCTCACACAAGATGGACAGAGAGCATTGGATACAGTCCATGGTGATGGAGAGAAGGAGAAGGAGAAAAGAGAGAAATGCACAAAAGGAAGAAACCATTCTTATTTGACTTGCTGAGCTAAGGCAATGCACAGTGAGGGGAGAACCTCTTTATATGTGAAGACTGTGGAATTCGAACTCAACGTCAAAGCTTTCAGGGTGGGGGGCAGAGGATTTCATATCTCAGTTCTGCTCCTTTAACTGAGTCAGGAACTGCAAGTAAGGAACGTGGGAGTGTTGTCGGCCTGCTACAATCAGAGATTGAAACTTTAATTTTTTTGTCCCTTGTGGCTGTGAGGAATCATTAGATCAAATTATGGGAGCCTCTCCTACAACCAGCAGGCAGTGCTGTAACACAAGGCAACCTGCAAATTACATGTGGTTATGGAGGGAGCTGCGGGAGATCACCATCCACAGCTTCAGGTCGAGTGTGTTTAAAGATGCTGCAGCCCAAAAGAGCGACTTGTTTTATTGTCCAAGATGTCACAAGGCATCTCGGTGCCTCACCTGTATGTGATATATGAATGCAAGAAGAGCCCAGCTGGAAGAAGAAGAAGAGTTTGGATTTGATATCCCGCTTTATCACTCCCCTTCAGGGGTCTCAAAGCGGCTAACATTCTCCTTTCCCTTCCTCCCCCACAACAAACACTCTGTGAGGTGAGTGAGGCTGAGAGACTTCAGAGAAGTGTGACTGGCCCAAGGTCACCCAGCAGCTGCATGTGGAGGAGCGGAGACGCGAACCTGGTTCCCCAGATTACGAGTCCACCGCTCTTAACCACTACACCACTCTGGCTCCCCAGTGAAGCAAAGACCCAGGAAGTTT